AATTACGTGAGAGAGAGAGAGGGAGAGAGAGAGAGAGAGAGAGAGAGAGAGAGAGAGAGAGAGAGAGAGAGAGAGTACACAGATTTTCCTGCATGTATCTGATTGCAATTACGGACAGTCCTGGATGTATCGGACCGCAATGCACGGATTTTCCTGAGTTTATCTGATTGCAATTACGGACAGTCCTGGATGTATCAGACCGCAATGACGTCCAGAGAGAGATGCTGTTGCTAAATTTTGTGTATTTGGTCCTGTTCTGCTCTGTGATTGCATGTGGACAGGATATGCTCCCGATACTGATGCGAATGCAAAGCGTGAGTGAAATCAAGAGTCAGCTTGAGTCTACTGTACAGCAGGGTAATTACGCTAAGGTAAATATGATTGAACAATTCAGAAGGTTCAAGAAATGGGCTCCTCCATGCTGGCGTCGACTTGTTTGATCGTCGATGCTCAAGTCGTCATGTTCTTCAATCCTTTCAGACACCGCACACATTTCTTTTTTGTTGTTTTTGTTTTTTTTTGTTTCTTTTTTTCAATCCACTGTGTGGGCTTCACTGTCTGATTGCTGATCCTACACCCATCCCAGTCCTCTCCTACTTGTAGGGATGGCTTCTCTCACTCTTGACATGTTTGATTGGGCGGTAAAGTATATTAAAAAAAAAAAAAAAAAAGGGTTAGAATGGGCTTGCCGTTCGGCGGGTTCTTGACGAGCATCTCTCAAAGTGAAATGTGTCTACCATCGAGACGGCATATGAAGCTTCATCCCAATTGATGATGTGGCATGCCTTTTCACTTTTGACGTGTTTGGTCGCCGATGCTGCTCTTTGAGTCGTCGCGTCTTCCATTGTGAAGAAATCTTGTGTGCGGCTGTTTTTGTGTTCTCTATTTTTTGTGTGGGGGCTCTGAATTCTGACTCTAGTCTGCAGCTGTAACTTGCTTTTTTCTGTTCAAAGTTATAGGACGAACGTGTCCAGAAAGAAGGTCAGGTGAGGTTTTCTTTGTGCAGAAAGAAGGCATTGTGTTTGTGATGACAGGACGATGGTAGTAACTGGTTGGGTTGGCCGTGTGTTCGAATGTCTGGTGCGCTTCCGTGAGTGTCTTTCCTTGCCTCTCTCTGCCTTCGTCTCCCCTTTTCTCGCGCCCAGTCTTGCCTCCTCCTTTCTCTCTCTCTCCCAAACAACCCCTACTTTGGTGTATGCTCCATTACCAGGCGCTGCGGATGTGCTCGGAATGCCTCCTGCTTATGGAGGATAATCCGGAGCTCAAGGCGTTCGGCGATTTAACGCAAGGCATAGAGGTGAGTCTTTCCTTGGAGGTTTTTCTTTTTCCCTTCTTTTGTGTTAGTTGTCAGAGATAAGTATTCCCTTTCTTGTTTCGTTTCCATGTTGTCTTCGTTCTCACTCACAGTGCTAACAGGTTCTGCTGCTGCTGTCTCTCTCTCTCTCTCTCTCTCTCTCTCTCTCTCTCTCTCTCTCTCTCTCTCTCTCTCTCTCTCTCTCTCTCTCTCTCTCTCTCTCTC